GGGGGGGGGGTTTATATAGTAGCTGATACGTGATCTAGATCCGATCTAGATCTGAGAAAATCAACAGATCAAGCCTCCGACCTAGTAATTGACCTAGGATCGACCTAGGATCGACCTAGGATTAGATCCGGTTCGGATCTAGTTACTGAACTAGGTCGGATCCTAGATCGATCCTAGATTGAGCCCCTATAGAAGGCCAGTACTGTACATAGTACTTAGTATAGGGGCTGCACAACTTGTGTCCTTACTTACTAAGTAGTTCTTATTTTGAACAATATTCGAACAATGGCTGAGTGATTTCCGAACCGTACGCCGAGTTATAGTACCTAACTGTGTACGCGCAGTAGGATCCCGATAGAACACCCCAACTCAAAGAAACCAGGGGGTGACACAGAGAAATGAACCTAGGGACTGTATGCCCTCGAGACAGTACAGAAAAATATCCGTCCTGGGCCTGCTCTAATCACGTAGTATGCAAGACCATTGTCAGAACTAACAACCGTACAGTGATAGTATAGTAGGACGACCTATACGCAAATGTGGCGTTATCGATACCATAATACTAGTAGTAAAGCGGATGTGGGTGGTCGATATAGGAAAGATCGGGGTTGGCTCCTTTATGAGAAAAAGGAGTATCTTTCAACTGAGTGAGACTCCTCCGTAGTCTCTCCGGCCTTTGAATTGTCTCTGCAAGATCACCATTAAGGTCAGGTTCGACATCAGCATTGTCGGCTCCGTGCCCATGGACTTGCTCCTGAGGAGGGAGGCTGTGGCCTCAAGCCAGGGCTTGTTCAAGACAGCCGCCCGACTGGCAAGCTCCGACAAGCATGGGTCAAGCTGGTTCCGACGAAAAGCACAAACTACAGAACAACCAAGATCGCCAGGTATAGCAGCTGTCTCGGTTCGCATAGAGCCACCTCGCGGGAAAGACGGAAAGGCGAATCAAGTCCCTATAAGTAGTAGCAGGCGAGGGAAAGGACGCGAAGCTGGTGCCGGTGGCCGGTCCAGATGGACGAGGCTGAGGACTCCTGATGCGCAGTTACAGTTGCAGTCACAAATTTTCCGCTCCGCACAATCAACTACCAGTTCGTCGACCTCGCATCTTCGAGTTGCGCTGCACATTACCCTAACTACTACTACGCCTGCACCACCGTCTCGACCGCTCTACACATCGGACTCTACTCGACAGACACGGGCAGTATTGCAGTTCCCTCGTCGACAGCCAAATTCCGAGACGATCTCACGAAAAGCGTCGGCCAGCGCAGTCACCCCGCTTGACCGCCCGGACGACCGCCCACTTCAGTCACACGAAGAGCACAGAATAGAGGACGCATCCGTTCAATCCTCTTCGTTTTTAGACACCAGCCCGACGGACGAAGCACCGCAGCGAGAAATACAGCGCACTGCCCCTCTGAAGCCTTTATCACGCTATCTGTCCGACGCCCGCAGATCGATGACGGCCGAATCCTCCTCCGCCACTACTACACCATCACCAGCTGCACAGCATAAACCTTTAGTTGTTGGTCGCACGAAGCCCCAATCGGAGAACGTGAATCCCTCAGCCATGGAGACTTCATCGTCGGTTGACAAAACCCTGCCTGCGGAGGTGAAGGCGACGCTCAACCACGAAATCGCCGAGAACGTCAAGTCCAACACGACCGAAGCCTCGCCTTCAGACCCCCCAGCCAATGCACCGAAAAAGAAGGAAAAGGCTCCCAAACAACCCAAACAACCAAAAGCAGCACCTCCATCGGTACCGCTGAGTCCTGCCCTCATTGACCTGCGGGTCGGTCACATCCTGCGGGCCATCAACCATCCCAATGCGGACAGCTTGTACGTGTCGACCATCGCCATGGGCGACCCCGAAGGCACCGAACACACCCAGATCGACGAGGAGACGGGTAAAGTGGTGAGGACTGTCTGTTCGGGACTGAACGGGCTGGTGCCCCTTGAAGAGATGCAGGGTCGCAAGGTGGTGGTTGTTGCCAACTTGAAACCCGTCAATATGCGCAGCATCAAGTCTGCCGCCATGGTTCTCGCAGCCTCGCCACAGGCCGAAGAGGGAGCGGACCCCCATGCTGCTGACCGCGTCGTCGAGCTCGTCAGTCCCCCTGAAGGTGCTGAGGCTGGCGACCGTGTCTACTTTGAGGGCTGGCCCTACGGTGAAGGACGCGGTCCCGAGAAACAGCTGAACCCGAAGAAGAAGCAGTGGGAGGCAATTCAGCCTGGTTTTTACACGACTGAGGATCTGGTTGTCGCCTTTGACGCATCAAAGACGGAGGTAGATGGTGACCAGAAGGGCGAGCTTATCGTCGAGGGCAAGGGTAAATGTACAGTCAAGACTTTGAAGGGTGCTGTTGTCAGGTAATATCAACATCTCCGCCACACTGTCTGAGTACTACATACGTTTGTTCCGATGGGCTTTTGTGTCTCATAAAGATATGGGAGTGCATCCCAGGGATAGATAGAATGTAGAAAAACGAGATATGGTCAATTACGTATGCCTCTGGGTGGACTCGGAGAAAAACGATACGGGAAGTTGGTTCTTGCTGCCAGGTGTAACATATGTTGTCAAGCCAGTGAACGCTATCTGCTTCCGGGTAATCACTGGCAGTTGCCACGAAATGGCACAGTGGTATCGCATTATGAACGAGACGATGTGGCTCTCGCTCGACATAAATATAACGCCAGTAGATAGACCTGGCACAACGTGAGCATCATAAGGCGCCTGGACAGAGCCGGGATGGAACGCGCACAAGTGCTCAGGGTCTGCCGTGAGCTCGATTCAAACCAAAAAAAAAAAAAAGAAAGAAAACAAGCCCCAGACGATGTGTGGTTCAAGTTGTGCACTTCATGCTCGTACCATAGACGCATGGCAAACTCGTCCTTCTCTGTATACCAGCTTGTAGGCGGCGAACTTGAACTTATCCATCGGTGTGGAGTACATAGCCCTCCCCATGGCATCACACCAACCAACCGTTCGGCAAAATCTCTGGCCTGCCTGTCCCTTTGCCTTTTCCAGGATGCGAACGTGATTGCACATGGACCTCCAACAGTCACTTCTGTAGTCGACACCATGCCTCGGGCGGAGAGTTCAACAGCCTGCTGGCTGCAGTGGCAGTATATGTGAAGCCATACTGTATGCACTTCCGAATACTGGTGGTCCAGTCACTGGCCGAATGGTAGAAGACGTCGGAAACCTCGCCGTGCGTCGGTTAGGCGGTGGTCTGCCAGGAGCACGAGTGGAATGCAACTGCAACAGTAGGCCACTTGATATTCAGAGTTGATGAGTTCTCTGTTCGATTGCGCTGAAGCAAACTCTGGACAAGATCATTGCTCGACCGAAACTTCCTTTCGCTTCCGCATTCAATTAAGTAGGCTCGATGATGAGAGGGCGCCTCACTCGGTCTTGCTCTGGCTTTGATCGGACGACTTCAGTTTCGACTTGTGGCATTCTGCTTCGAGTTCGCTGCCCATGCGAGCAGTACTGGTACTGGTACTGCTAGTAGGTGGCAGTGACTCATTCGATTGACGCCTTGTTTGTTGGTATGAGCTACCTTGCAGTTGGGTCTGGGTCTGGGGCGTAGTCGAATGCTCGGTGGGCGCCTGTGGACGTGGGTGTGGACGTTTTGGTTGCATTGAAGGAAACATTTCTTGTGAGTTATTAACCGGGTCGGGCTACGGGAGATTGATATTGGTATAGGTGCAATAGAGGGCACGCACTGTAGGGTCGATAGTATCAACTGAACAGAACTAGTGTATCTAGGATAGGGTAGGTAAGGTAGTGTGCCAGGAATGCAGTGGAGTAACAGATTATTATATTCGTTCGGAAATAGATGCAACCGATCTTGGAACCTCGTCGTGGCAAAATGCGGACTCAACGTCAACACCTCTTCTCCCTTCGTCTTCTAGGGCCAGGTAACTAACTGGTACTTGTATTGGTATTGCTACAGCAGACTCCGAACCACTTCCACACACCCGATTCCTTTTTACGGGCCCCCGCCGGCCAACCACGCAAGACACCAAATTGACTGCCCTTCCCTAGCCAGAATCATGACCTTCGTGTCTATCATTAACTTATGGCAAGAAACAGAAACCTGCCACCACTTGTGTCAAACTCCTCCGTCTCCGTTCTTCTACTACTAGTAGTACCATGTTGGAAACTGCAGGTGACTATTACCACTACCGTCCATCATGATATTGCAGGGCGGGGACGCCATGCATGCGAATTCTGTACAGGCAAGTGTACTCTGCACCGTAATTCTTGACGACCCGGACGACAAAAGACTGAGCAGCATACAAATGGATGTCATGTTGATTGACAGCCAGCGGGAATGCTTGGACGTGAGGAGCCTCGACCGAGGCGTCGTACTCGACCTCGCCGATCAAAGCGTACGTCGGCCCCAACGACAACGGGCCATCTGCCTGCATTTGCCGGATATTTAGACTCTCCCACTCCCGACTATCGAGATGCTGAAAGTCGGCCCAGACCTGGATCCTTTTCGGCGTTGAGCCTGGGAACAGCGAGCCGGCGTTCGGGTAATTCTCCACCACCACTTCAGTCGGGAAAATCATCTCGGCGACTCTGACACCTAGTCGCATCGAGTCTTGTTGGTCATCATTATTCGCCGGGCTGGCCGACGAGCACCAATAGTCGCCTACGTCCTGCCATGGCTGGAGAGCCGTGATGGCCGGCTTGGTCTCGTAGAGCGTCATACCGACCATTCGCGACAGCACTCTCGACACAAGTGCTTGCCTTCTCTCCCGCGTGGGCGATGTGTTGTGCGGATCGACGTTTGCGCCGTTGTTGGGAGCAAAGTAATTGACCTTTGCAATTACCGGAGATGCCACATCGCCCGAAGAGGAGACCGACCCGCCGCCGCGCACTCTCTGCAGCCCGGCAATGTGACTTGATAGTTCCGAGTGTTGTCTCCTCAGCTCCTTGATGTCGGTGTCGACAATCGTGTATTGTGAATCGAGCTTCTCGCTCAATCGCCCCTCAATGGCCTGTATCTGGCTCTGAATCCCACTGAGGGCCGCAGAGAGCTTTGAAAGATCGCCACCATTGGCCCCCAGCGTGAAATTCAGAGGACTGCTTGAAGCGCGCACACAGCCACCGCAATATCTCTGTAGAGTTACACCGATAGGTGAAGACGAATGAGCATCACAGATGTAGCTCGTGTATATGTGACAGAAGAGAAAACTTGCTGCGGTGGCGACGAACAGACCAAAAAGCAGACTGACCATGACCTGGACGAAAACCGAGTTGGGAAGGTCACTGATTGCCCTACCACTGGCGCGAAAGAGCCTGGACGTCCATTGCGCCGTGGCGCCCAGTGCGCGTGCCGATGCCTGGCGTGACTGGTCGGCTATTGTTTTTGCTGTTTTCCAAGCTTGCTGGAGGGTCGAATCCCCCCCTGTTTTCCTTCTAACCGTGACGTTGGGTCTCCTAAGCCCACGCTCATAGTTGTAGCTGTGGTCGAAGATACCGCTGGGGAAGCTTGATGGGTCTGTATCCTTGTGTGTCGCGTTATCAGGCGTGCTCGGCGGTCGCCCGGAGCTGCTGTCTTCCTCCGGGATCTCGTCGAGCTGGCTACTCTCCAGCGAGCTCGCCCACGCCGCGACTCGTTGAGACTTGTTTTTCTCCACGTCGTCAGTGGTGACAGATCCTTCCCGCGAAGCCGGCTCTCGAGACGCTCGGCGACGAGCACGCTCTGCGCGTGGATCGGTCTCGTTTTGTAATTGCGCGTGCGTCTCCTCGATATGATGCTGAAGATGCTGCTGTGCCTGTTCGACGCCAGCGTCGATCGTTTCTGCCATTTCCCGGAGATTCATCTTGTTCCGTGCCACCAGCTGCGCCGGGAGCACCGCCGATTTACTGGAGCCGTAGGCATACGACTGCTGTATTTGCACCTCGGGCAGCCTGGGGTTGTTGACGGCGCCTTCGGCGGCCATGCTCGGTTGTTGCGAGCCGCCTCGAGTAACTCTCCGCGGGATGGCATCTTCGGACGCAAGAACGCTGCTCCCACGCGTTGATCGTTTGGTTGGAGAACTCGCACGTATGGGTGTGGCGCTGAGCCGTGCAGTTGAGCGGCGCGGAGGCATTGTAACAGATGTAACAGAGCCTAGACGTCCCGAACTTGAACTCTACAACACCGGCAAGTCTTGGACGTGGCGGTGGTCCTGTTAGGGACCAGGAACGGAGACGGCAGAAGGCCTGAAAGCCGAGATCGTAGGTATGGATGAGTCGATATGGTGAGAAAGTCTGTGGAGGCGCACTAATAATCAAGAAGCACCCAACCGCTCCATCGACATTTCGGTTGCTGGAATTTGGTGTCAAAAGCTCTTCGGCAGTTCGACTTGGGGAGAGCGACGAGTTCGTAAGTGTATTAATCGAGCAAGAATTCGATCCTCTGCCGAAGCAAAGGTGCACAGTTGCGGAGCCTCGAGTCAGGATAGGCGCTCATCCACACACCTGCATGTATAGCGGAATGAAGTCGAAGTGAGATGTTGAGGCAATGGTCTCATCCGCCGGGTACGCTCTCTGCTTTGGCAGGCACTCAATAACACGTTGAAGGAAATGTATACCGTGAGCAATGAAAAGAGACTGCGTCGAGTTCAAAGTGAGGTGACCGGGTCCAGATGCTAAGTCCAGATGCTATTTCTTGTTGTTCTTTGTCTCGACGCGTCGTTGAAGTCGTTCACGGTTTTCCGTTTTGGGAAATGCGCGCATTCCAGTCACTGGGGCTGCACGTGACGTGTCTGTCAGTTGCTGCCGCTGCCGCAATTCTACGATGTAGTACAGTACATCCTGGTCAGGACAAACCCTGGATGAATGGTAGATCGCCTTTTGTCTATCTCTAAATCAGATCCAATCACTAGTCTATAACATATCCCGCCAAATGCATTGCAATCATATCATCATACAGCCGACTCCGATTCTTTCGTCGATCTCCTGCTTGACCTCCTGTCCACGGGCGGCATATCGTCGAAGACCTCTTCTTCCGACAAGACTCGTGTTATGCTACTTGGACTCCGTCGGAGATCAAGACTTGTGCTTTCCTCTTGTTGTTTCTCTTGGTCCCTCGACCCTGCAGCATAATCTCCTGGGCCCTTGCTCCCGTCTGGTACATGGAAGCGGAGATCGACGCGGAGAAGCAGATAGAGGTAGATGACAATGGCCTCGATGGTAAAATTGAAGAAGTAGAAGCACCATTTCTCATGATACCAGGCTGGATCATTTCTCGGTCGAGGATTTTTGAACGTCGTGGCTGCGCGGAAGGATGCTCCAAGGCAGAGAAGTACCGACGAGGTGAGCAGAATAGCGATCTTGGTTCTCCATCTGCCAATCCCGAACTTCTCGACACGTGTCTTTCGAGGGACGATCAGACCGAGAATGACCATGGGAATTGGCAGGAAGGAGATAAACACAAAGTATCCCGAGGCGGCCATCTGGAGATCCCGGTCGATTCGGTGTGTTCTGGCACTTAGTGTGTAGAAGGATTGCACGGTACCCGTAATCACTATGGCTAGGAATGCGAGAATCAAGCCATACATGAAGCCGAAGGAGGCCGTCAGCATCTTGTGCCAACCGAAATGTGGATGGGCGGCTCGTAGGATCCTCTGGGCGAAGATAACGTTGATCAGGAAGAGGATAAGCACGCCGGCCGCGACAAAAATCATGGCAGCCATTGCGACCTGGACGTCGTGGGGATAACACGCCCATACGATGCGCTGTAATGGAGTTAAAACACAACCCTCAGAGCGGCGTGGAAAAGGAGGCCTACCAGGACCATGGCCGTAATCCGTGCCATGCAAAAGCCAAACATCAAGCCGCTCATGAGGAATTTGTGGCCTCGTTTGCGATTGACGAGAAGGAGCGTCATGTTGCCCGCTGCGCCCAGCGCAAAGAGAAACAGGAAGACGCTACATATCGGTACGTCCACTCCAACCGTGGGCACACCGCCAACTGCTGCTGTGCGAGGGGCGTAGGGCGGACCTTGTTGCTGCTGCTGCTGCTGCACGTTGTTAGGCATCTTCGTTTTTCCTGGGGAGAAACGTACGCTCAGTTGTTGCGACATCTTTCAGCCGTTAGAAGCGAAGAAGCCGGTCGACTTGAGGTTCACGGTCAGCTAGGGAATGCTGGGAGGATATCAGATTGTCCAGGAGGTGTAAGTATGAACTCCATGGGTCTTTATGATGAATGAAACTTCCACAGAGATAGAAGAGAATTTAATAGAACCAGCTATGTTGGCCTGTCCACCCACAGGGCTGGTCGGAAATTCGACATTTTGCCCATGCGTCACGCTGAACGCGGCCATACGGTAGGCAGGCGATCGCAAAGAGCGAGAGCGAAAGACAGTATAGGGCGGAGAGGAGACTCTGTGAGGTACTAGTTGGTAGCTGGCCAATTGCAGGCCAGGGCCGGTCGGTATGCTCGCGTTCCGATGCCTCCGACGAAGAGCGAGGTGCCCTTTGAAAGCCCGGGGCGCCGTCTTGATAGCTCCAGAATCGCCCCGTGTCGGAGGGTTCATGGCTCGTGCTACTAGTAAAAGTAGTAGTTGCTTGATACTCGCCGTTGAGTCTAGCGCATATGCTTACCACCATATGCCGATGCGGGTTCTCAAACCTACGGAGATCGCTGAGGGTTAATTCCGAAAAGGGAGCCTGGGCACAAAATGCTTCTTTGTTCGCCCTGGGGGTCCAGCTTTGACATAATACCATCCATGATTCAGCATCCGCACTTTCATTGCTGAAAGCATATTGTCCATTTCCAGTTCAATACTGAGTAGCCGGCTAGGTACTGGATGAACCAACAAAGACCCTCCGGCTTCAAGTTTGCAGGTGTGTGTTCAACTGTTGCGTCGGTCGGCTCGGAAGATCGTACCTCCATGGTTCCGAAGGGGCAAGTCGGCCGAAATCGATGGGTGTGACGTCAGCCATATCCGCACGCTATAGCAGTGTCCCTAGTGCTCGGCTAAGCTGCTACAAGTATGCTGCGCTAACTGCTATAGTAGTAGTCTGTGCTACAAGCATTATGGTTGGATTCCGTCAGGCTGCAGTGTCCTCGTGGCTGTTTACGACTGCATCCAGAACATTCAGGTTGTCTATTTGTTCTCAAGGAGACGCTGATCAGCAGTACCACTCTAGTCATCAGCGTCTCTAGATATCCATCATGGCTCCCAGCACTGGGAGCGCCTTGACCGCGGATTCCATCCTGGAACACATGGTCAAAAGCATCCCGACCCCGCCTTCAGACTCTCCGCAACAGCGGCTCATTAAAGACCCATTCGCTGCGGTCGCTTTGTTCGCCCATGCCTGTATGCTTGCGGTAGGATTTCGACTTATAGGCTTGGGCGAAGACCACAAGATAGGTATGTCTCAAAACGTCCTGGTTTGCAATAAACCTCCGTTCGCTGACACTCCTCAGATACTCCGGCTGATTCTCAAGATGTGCAACCGTTACCCGCTGAGTGGGACGCATCCTCGTCCTATGCCTTCCGCTACGCACACCCCCAATCATCTATGGAGTTTCTCGTTAAGGTGAACCGGCTGGGCAGTAAGGCTCTGATCTTTGGTGTCGGCCTGGGTGACGACAAAACTGCCTCTTTTGAGATCAAAGCCGAAGATTACATCTCTGAAGGTTCTCTGAAAGAAGCCACAATCAGTTCTGATCGAACACCAGCTATAAGGAATGCTTTCATATCCAATGGACGTATCGATGATCTGGCATCACTGTTCAAACTCAACATTATTCAAAAGCTGGTTCCTGGCATACAAAAGGCAGGTTATGAAGAAACGCAGTCAGCATCAGATGCTCGAGACCGATCGCAGGGAGCTCGCCCACCTGAGCATGATCCTCTGCGGGACGACCACCAGCCGCCTGCCCGGCCATATCCCTTTGATGATCCGCTAGCAGCTGAGCCGCGAAGACCCTTCCCCGCGGGCGACTTCCCACCCCCCGGTTTCGAGGATGAATACGAATTGAACCGTCCGCGCCAAGGACTGGCCCCGAACCGACCGGGATTCGGTCCTGTACCTATTGGAGAGCAGGATCTCTACCCTCCTGGTCTAGGTCCTCACGATCCGCTCAGGATTGGACCTGGGGGCGGGTTTCGTGGTGGTGGAGGGATGCACCCTACGTTCGATGACCTGACTGGACGGACGGGAGCAGAACCATACGATCCCAGCGTACCTCCTGGGGCGCGATATGACCCTATTGGCCCGGGTGATGGGCCACCCAACCTTCGAGGCCCTGGCGCTCGATTTCCGGGAGGCAGAGGAGGCGGGTTTGGTGGAAATCCATTTGGGGGTTTCGGAAGCGGAGACTTCATATGATGTGTCCTAAGATAATGAAAGAGGAAACGAATCTCACGATGTAGCTCGAATGATTGTAGAAATAATGTCTCCTCATGTTGTTGAGGAGGTTGGATAATACTACTCGATTCCCGATCGTCCTGCAGTATGACTCGCGCATGGAGTTTTGGGGGGGGGTGGATATTTTCCCTGCGTGTATCATAGCAAATTACTGGTAGCAGTGAATGTTAACATTATGTGTGTACGACATTCAAGTTGTAGTAGCGACGCACCTACAGTTTATTATGTAGTATGACTACTTGGTATACACGTAGTGTACTTCCGTCGTTACTGGTCGTCGCCCAGATGCAATGGGCTGACTAAGCCAGTGGCTGTAGGGCAGCACGAGGCAGGTGCAGTGTGCCCATCTGACATTAAAGCGGCCAGAAGAATGATCCATTACGGTCGGCGATAGTGGCTTGTAAGTTAGGTACCTTCCTTTCGCCTAATCCAGCCAGCATGGTATGTCATGCCCGCAACTTAACTTCATGACAGGACAACACCACCTTTTCCACGCCCAACAGTCCATCTAGACCCAAATCTCAAATCACTTTACCTTTTCTCAACTCCCGCCACGGCCTGATATCAGCCGGCGCCTTTGCTTGCACGCTTTCCACACGCTGTTTGTCACTCGCGCACCCTCCACTACAACAACTTTTCGATTTTGGCACACGACATCCTTAACGCACGGTTCCCTTCTCCCGTTACCTCCCTGTTGAGATCAGAACCTCCGACATTGTCGACTCATATGTTACAGCATGGATTCAAAAATGGACGTTGACGTGGGAAAGCCGGCACAGCCCCATGGCCTGTCGCCCGCAACAGACCCGCAGTCCATACCTACACTAGACGGTTGGATCGAGAGCTTGATGGACTGCAAACAATTGGCCGAGAGCGATGTCGCCCGGCTTTGCGACAGAGTGAGCAGCGTGAATACCAAAACCCTGGACCGGGACTGATATCGGTGATAGGCAAGAGAAATCCTCCAAGAAGAGTCAAACGTTCAGCCGGTGGTAGGTTTGTTCTCCTCCAGGATCTTTTCGAATATTAACGCAGCGTAGAAATGCCCAGTGACGGTCTGCGGTGACATTCACGGCCAGTTTCATGATCTAATGGAGTTGTTTCGAATCGGTGGACCAAATCCGGACACGAACTACCTCTTTATGGGTACGTTAGATTGTCAGTGATGTCTAGCTTTGGGCACTGATTGACCTGAAAACAGGAGACTATGTGGATCGTGGTTACTATTCGGTTGAGACCGTGACGCTCCTTGTAGCCCTCAAGATTCGATACCCTTCCCGGATTACCATCCTACGTGGTAACCACGAATCCAGACAAATCACGCAGGTGTACGGGTTCTATGACGAATGTCTGAGAAAATATGGCAACGCCAATGTCTGGAAATACTTCACCGACCTCTTCGACTACCTTCCCCTTACCGCTCTCATTGACAACCAGATCTTCTGCTTGCATGGCGGGCTTTCGCCCAGCATAGACACCCTTGACAACATCAGATCCCTCGACCGCATTCAGGAAGTGCCTCACGAGGGACCGATGTGTGATCTTCTGTGGAGTGACCCTGATGACAGATGCGGATGGGGAATCAGCCCAAGAGGTGCAGGGTACACCTTTGGTCAAGACATTTCCGAAGCCTTCAATCACAACAACGGCCTGACCCTGGTGGCCCGGGCACATCAACTGGTCATGGAAGGTTACAATTGGAGTCAGGACAGAAACGTCGTGACCATCTTCAGCGCCCCCAATTACTGCTACAGGTGCGGCAATCAGGCTGCTATCATGGAGATTGACGAGCATCTGAAGTACACTTTGTAAGCATGCCCAGCCGAGCCTTTTATAATGGAGCCCTAAACTGACGAATCTTTCCAGCTTGCAATTCGACCCCTGTCCTCGAGCTGGTGAGCCCATGGTGAGCCGGAGGACACCGGACTACTTCCTGTAGACGAGGTCATGTTATGCTACAGCTCCAGACTCCCAAGGAATAGAGCAAAGCAGGTCTAGCGCTGACTTGGCAGCCGTGTCTTCTCTGCCCGATTTTGCCTTGGTAAGGGAAGTTGGTACGGCGCCTGCATTTGTCTACCACGCCAACGGAAAGACGAAGGAAGGGAAAGAATGTTTGATCAACTCCAGATCAGAAGATGTCAGAGCGCCTCTCCAAGATGCCCATAGACAAAACCATCAAAGAACATTTGTTTCGCGACGCAGTTTGCATCCTACAAGCGGCGAGCCGATGCCGTTGCCATTATCTCTGTTAGGTGGAGTGGCATCGTCACCATCGAAACCCTGTACTGTACCTTTACCGTTTCACACGAAGAAGCCCATTAATGAAAGTTGAAGAGTTTGCTGATTGACCTGCGTGACTCACTATCATCCTAGCCGGACTTGGTTTTCTCGTGAGCAAGGAATTGTTTGTGCTTCGTTTGCGTGTATACTACTACTGGGATGGCTTTCACCAACTTGCTTCACATGCTCCCGAGTACTTGATATTATTATGTGTGTACGTACTGTATAGTCGAAACCTCCTGCTTCCACCACGAGAGCAACGTAAGATGACACACGTAAGCAATGTGAGCTGAGCTTGTCCAGCGGCTTCAATTGTGCCCGTCTAACCAGTGACTAAATTAGCTAGATCCCTGGAACGACCGCCCATTTTCTTTGGCATCGAGTTGAGCTCTAGTCTCTCGCTGGCTTAAATCGAAACGACCACTGGCCGTTCCTACAATTCTTGAGCTTCAATGGTCGAAGCCTGAGGGACATAAGGGTCCTCCGACTGAGTAGCATTTTTCGTCAGAGGGCCTCTCTTGACCATGATAGTCATGACCTCGTACAAGACATCAGCGGCAGCCATGGTGGTAAGTTCGGCATTAGTATCGTAAGCCGGAGCGACTTCAACAATATCGGCAGCCACAAAATTGAGCGACTCGAGACCGCGCAGAATGGTACGCAGTTCACGAGTGCTCCAGCCGCCCGTCTCGGGTGTTCCCGTGGCCGGAGCAAATGCCGGATCCAGGGTATCGATATCAATTGACAGATACACAGGGTTTTTGGTGCCGACGCGGTCGATGATGCGCTTGATGATGCCGTCGGTGCCAATGGTGTCGATTTCGCGGGCTTCGACGCGCGTGAAGCCGCAGTAGCCGTCATTGTCGTAGTCCGAGGGGCCAGAGAGTGTCGTCCGGATCCCCGCGTGGATCGAGCTGTCGTTGGCTAATAGGCCTTCCTCGCTCGCCCAGTAGAAGTACGTCCCGTGGTTGATGGCCGCTTGTTTCGACGGGGCCCCGCCAAAGACCTTGGGTTTCCAGGTGTCCAGGTGAGAGTCGAAGTGGATCACGCTGATTGGGCCATAGGCCTTGTTGATGCTGCGGAGTAAGGGGAGTGTGATGGTGTGGTCGCCCCCGAGGGTGATTACGCGCGGAAGGGTCTTGCCGTTCTTGCTGATCCCGGGCTCCTTGGCGGCCGTGTAGGGTTGGCGCATTAGGAGGGTGTTGTGCCCGTCTTCGATCTGCTGCAGAGCGTAGGCGTTGTCGTAACTATTGAAAAAAATGAAGGTCAGGACGGCGTGGACCATTTGCTTTGCTTTGCGCTACTACAAACCGACATGGAAGTAGGTACGTGGGTGGGTAGGTTCAAGACTTACGAGGTCACAGGGATGTCACCGCAGTCAATGACTTTGCCCCAAAAGTTGAATGGGTTCGCTTCCATCGGTCTGTTTCGGGCATCAACCCAGCCATAGAACGTCAGTTTGGTTTCGTGTTTGGTTTGAGGATATTGTTAGTGACGGGAGGGAAACACGTACACATTATACCCGCCGCTAAATCCAACCCTTCGTGAGCCTTTGTGTCGCCAACAAGAAAAAGGTGTAAGCCTTTGTGACAAACGTACTAGAGATTGAGGCGACGAGAACCTTGTCTGATACCACTGGGCCCGAATCGAGCACCTGGTCGGTATGAAGTGCCAGTGTCGAATGGTGCACCTGTACCCCAGTAATTTAGGATCTTATTAGCTTTTTCAACTCTTTCCCACAGCTTCGCTTCGTCTTCATTCTTTTCCAATGGCAGCGTACCCAAGAATGCAATGTCATATTTCTCCTCGTCGCTCGCAAGGCAAGGGAAGTAAGGCAGACGGCCGAAGGTCGAGATGCCGGAGAAGACAGAGTCGGCCTACGTTTGGGTCCCTGTCAGAAAATGCCCTGCCGACGGCAACCGATAGAAGAGTAGTTGCTGCACCAGCCGCTCACCTGTGTACCGCCATCACCTGGCAAAGTGTTATACCACAACGACTTGTGTGGACCGGAAATGGGAGTCTGGTCATGGCCATGGTTGCCATGAGCAAGAGCACAGCTGGCACATGCCAGCAAAGCAAGTGACCTGAATTGCATCTTCACGGGGCAGCAGCCAGCAGAGATACACAAGACAGTCAGAGAAAAGGGTTGGACGGAAAGGGAGGAAAATAATTCAAAGAGCAAAGAAAATCGAAAACACCCCGCGCATAGCAGTACTTGTACTAGGAACCAGAAGTGATCAGCAACCGAGTTTTGTCAGTGTTTGTCCCTCTTACGCCATGACGATGTGGACGGAGAGCTGTTAGTGGGTAGCTGAGCAACAGCTGTGACCGAGACATTTCCTTGCCGATAGCATTGCCGGCGGTATAAGTCAACGAGTTGACCACGACAAATGTGTGGCTTGATTCTTGTTACATAAATCTCATGTTCATTCAACCTAGCTGGTACATGGCGACAGGTGCCCCTTCTCTGGTGAGTGATAACAAAACCTACCTGGTGGTCAAGACTCGGAGGCCATTATCGGCAGCAAGGGTTTCGCCCCGCCCTTTTATTGCAAATAGATTCTCAAAACCGTAACAGCGTAGTGAGCTCGCATTCGGGGATGTGCACATATGTCCATGACATGTGGATGGCTGATTCGGATCCATTCGAACTCAAATTTATTTTTCTGGCCCGAGACAACGCGTCTTCGCCGTCTGTGTCCCTTGGGGCGGGGGCTGCAAGAGAACTTGGAAGCCAACCGCGATGGCGCGCAGTGTCACAAGAATGAGATGCAAGTATGGGGGTCGAGAATAACCCGGCAACTGGTGAACCATGGGGAACTGTGGAATTGGCGCTCATGTCCATCCAGCAGGATGGTCCAAAACGTATAGATCTGAGCCAATGCTGTGGGTCATGATGCTATCGTGCAAGGTTGTAGTGATGCAGTGCAGGTTCTTATCAGTCCCATGATGAAGAGAGATGCTGAAGCGATATCAGCGACAAGAGCAAAAGTATGTGAGTGTTTGTTTCTTGTAATCAGGACGTCGATAGAAGATTCTGCCGCTAGTCCACTTGGGGAAGCTCGTAATGATGGTACCACCAATACCGTACTAGAAACGGCTGCAGGAACGGATTATGTCAGCCCCCTTGAACTTCGTACCGCATCATCTTGACATTGCGATGGTGCCTGCCGTGATATTGTTTGAGAAGCAACAAACCCAATGTATACTCTCCATGATACCTATTGGCGCCATCTATTCCCTCCCTTCCATGACAACTGATCAGCTACTGCGGTCCATGGCTCACTGGGGCTGGCACAGATGGCCCAGCATCCCCGTGTTCCGCTACTTCGTCCTTGTCCATACGGTCAAAAGCCTTTTGTACCTGGTAGTCCCAGTTACTGAAAGCAACGATAACCCATTCAGCGGCTCCAACCAGATATAGGGCAATGCACTGGCCGACCCAGAGACCTTGAAGTCCCCAGCCGTGGAAAGCAAGCCAGATGCCCAAGGGTAACGCCCCACAATAGTAGCTGACGATGTTAACGGCAGCTCCTATGTGCTGTCGGCCCATTCCACGAAGGGAACCGCCGCAGCTGCCATTCAGGCCATCGGCGATCTGGAAGAGGGCCACATAAGGCAGGACCTTCGCAGTGAGCTTGACCACCGTGTCGTCGTCGTTGAAGATCCTCGCGAAGTTGTTCCTTGTCCCCATGAGGATAGCCAGAACCACCGTCCCCATGATCATGCTCAGCCAAGCGGCGACGTTGGCCGCACGTGCCGCTCCTTTGGCGTTGCGTGCACCCAGCATGTTCCCAACTCGAGCGCTGGCAGCGACGCCAATTCCGAATGGGATGGTGTTCAGGACCTGGTCCGCCGTCATAATCACGCTTTGAGAGGCCAACGGAACTTCTCCCAGTCTCCCCGCTGCAAGGGCGACAATTTCAAATGCCCACCACTCGGTGCCAACATGGATAACCCCCAGGGCGGCGAGTTTGGCGAAAGTGCCCATGTTCTGCAGACATCTTTTTGTCCATCCGCCCCAGCATTCGCCACCTGCCACAAACTTCGCGTAAAGTACGAGTCCCAGGAAAGAAAGCCAGTACCCAATACCAGTTGCGAATGGGGCTGCGAATATTCCCCAACCAGCAACGTAGACGAAAAGATAGTTCAGTAAAGCGCTGATGGGCGAGGTAATCAATAGCACATATGTTCCTGGTCGCATGATTTCCTGAGCCTGCAGATACTTCTTCATGGTTTCAAAGTAGATATATCCCAGCCCCCCGGGGATCAGACAGCTGAGGAATTTGGAGCTATCCCGCGAAAGCTGAGCACTCTGTCCCAGGGCCCTGAACACGGGCTCTGAGCATAGCCAGAGCACTGCAACTGGAATATAGAACATTGTTAGGACAACGAATGCGCGCTGCAGCAGGATGCCCAAATCATGCTTGTTCTTGCTCCCCGTAAACGTTGATGATGCAAGTGTATCCAGTGCCGTTGACCCTCCCATTCCAATCAACCACCCAGAACACATGGCAAACATGTATGAGAAAGCGGCGGTGGAAAGGTCCTGAGGTGAAGCCCGGCCGACGATCAGGATGGAAACCGTTTGGAGAGAGTTTTGCAACGTGTAGGCCAGGATGACCGGAATCGATCCCTTCAACAAGACCCAGAATTCATGCAGAATGAGCTTTCGAGGGGGTGTTTCGTCCTCTGGAAGTATATCAAGCACCTCGCCTTCCTCCTGGCTTGATGCGTGGTCTTCTCCATGGTTTTTTTTGGGTAACAGGCTTGTTTCCTCAGTGGCTGCCTCATGAATATGGTGGTGCATCATTGCAACTGAATGTCGTCTCTCATGGTCTTCCTCTATGCGAAAAGGTGATGAGTCTAATGTGTCTGGACAATCCGGAACAGAGATGGCTTACCAGAAGAGCTATACCTTCTCATCTTTCCAGCCGAAATAAAATAGAAGGTGTTTCTAAAGGTCAGCAGTAAAATGGGAATGCTCGAGTTGAAGGAATCAAAACAGTTTGAGGCCAACTGAATTCAACCATGGACTCAATGGGTTTGATTGCCCCGCTACCATGTATCTCGGTTTGGAAAACCCGTCGATCGATCCTGGTAAGCTTCGGACAGCAAGGAACCTTGGAATGCGTGTGCAATACAGAAACGTAAAAGGCTGACCGAAAATCAGCGAGAGTGAAAAGCACGATAATCACCAGGAGATACCGGCAATGGTATGATCCCGGCAGCGGTCTTTCTCCTTGCTGCAATGCGAAGTCATTGCATTACTCAACTGCTCAGCACGGCATGCTTGGTGGAGGTTGCTTTCCTTATCTTCAACCCTGTCAGTGGGTTCTCTAGGGGTATCCATTGCCGTATCCTCTGCTGCAAGAGTAGCTGGCCAGAGCACCCCACTAGGTACATGAAGGGTCCAACCGTGCACTCGAAGGTCAGTGGGTCGGCCATTTGACGGAGGCTTGTTTTATTGATCAGCAGCAGAACCAATGTCACAGACACTTACCGGGTCGTAAGGGACGGGTACTGCGTGGATGGGAGGGAGGTACAGCAACAGGTTGTCGCAGATAGGTACCTTGGTACGATATCTACTTACCCGATCAAGGAAGACGCCTGCCGTGTTTGGTGTATTGATTACCATACGGCGCGGTACCACTGTATTCCTTGGCATCAAACATCAACACCACTGGCATTGCAACCACTTCTGTGGTCGATGCCACAGTCTGCCTTATCAGTCTCCCATATCGCACCATCGCTCACTACCCGTACACGTGGCCGATCTTTCGTCCAAATGGCGCACCGCCAACCCAATGATGGTACTACAGCCAGGACGGTTCAAGCTTCGACCGCCGGCTTAGACGCTGCCGCTAAGGTACCCGGGTCTGAACCATGTTTGCGCAACGGTTTGTCTTTTTGATGCCATAATACTGGTGACATGCTGCTGAGATAACGGCCTGTCGGGTCGTGATATCGGCAGCATGATTGTGCGTCCAGATCGTGGGGAGACGAGACAACGTGCTTCTCGGGGACTGTCCATTCACAGCTGATGATTGATACCGGTTCCAGCCCCTGGGAATATGTGGTGGCTCTCGCTGGCAGCGATTCAGCCCGAGCGTGTGTAATCGACTGAATTATTATATCAGATCTATACTTTGCATTCCCCTACCCTCTGTTTTTTTCCCCCGTTTTTGTGACCTTGCACGTCCGTTCCTCCTCGTCTCTTCAACCCGATTTGTATTCCTAGCTCCAAGATGGCGAGCATTTTCAAATTGAAACATGAAAGTCAAGGCGAGGGAGGCGAAACGATACCACACGGGGTGAATGAGAAGCTTGAATCAAGCACACTGGCACCACCTCCCCCTACGGTTGAGAACATTGTCACTCGAGATGGTTTCCGCATCCACCCACAGCCAACCAGCGACCCGTTGGACCCTTTGAACTGGACCAGTTTTCAAAAGCATACGATCCTTGCCATTGTGATGTTCAAGTAAGACCTGCCAAACAGTAAGAAATGCCAGTTTCTGACATGTTCGATACAGGTACTTCATGTTCACATATATCACCACGACGACGGTGGCCAGTTTCCCGGATTTACAGGAGCAATACAACATCAGCTATTCGCAAGTCAACTGGACCGTGGCGATCCCAGCCCTGGGACTCGCCGTGGGGCCATTGTTGTTTTCGTCGCTAGCAGACATATTTGGGCGACGCATCATCTTTGTCTTTGGCACCCTGATGGCGTTTGGGGCCACAGTGGGCGCAGCCAAAGCACCCAACTACGGCGGATACATGGCCGCACGGTTCTTTCAGGGGCTGGGAGTATCGCCAGCCTCGACGGTCGGACTGGCGGCCATCAACGACATGTTCTACGAGCACCAGCGCGGCGCAAAGATCGGACTGTGGGTGTTGGCCATTGACAGCGGGCTGCTGGTCGGCCCCATCATCGGCGGGTTCATGAACATTGTCTCTGCGGCGTGGGTCCAATGGCTCTGCGCGATCCTGTTCGCAGTCCTGCTGGTGCTCGAGATCTTGTTTATGCCCGAGACACTGTACCCGCGCAACAAGATGTTGGGCCAACTTCCACTGGCGACCGCCGTGGACGAGCCCGCCGTGGACATTGAAAAGGTCGGGCGACGGCGCAGCGATGCCGGGTCTGTCAGTTTGACACGCACCAAGAGTCTGTCGTACTTCAACTTGACGCCGGTGCCTGGGATGCGCCACCCGACGTACTACGACTCGGTGCTCCGGTTCGTTCTGACCTGGAAGTTCCTGGCCGTCACTATTCCCGTGCTCACCTACTGTTTTGTGTGGTACTGGTGGATTCTGAGCGTTATTACCATGCTGCCCGCCGCGTATCCGGACTACAAGCCGCAAATCCAGGGCCTGCTGTTCCTCGGCTTGCTGTTGGGGACATTGTTCGCCGAGGCCTTTTTGGGCGGCTCGCTGAGCGACTGGGTGTGTTCGCGGCTTGCTCGACGCAACGGTGGCGTCCGTCTTCCCGAAATGCGGCTGTGGCTCGTCTACCCTGCCGGCTTGCTGAGTGCTCTTGGCCTTGTCCTCTGGGGTATTAGTATTGACCGAGCCTACCATTGGATGGTCGGTCAGGTCGCTTTTTTCCTCTTCGCCGCCGGTATCCAGATGGGCAACACTGTTGTCTGCGCTTACATCGTCGACTGCTATCCTTTGCAGAGCATGAGCATTGTCACTTTCTATGCCGTGCTGCTGAACTTGTCTGCTTTTATTGATCCTGTAAGTTTTGCACTCACTCCTGTCACCACTTATCTACAAAACATTGCATTGGGTTACAAGAACAACGCATCTTCCTCGTTGCCTGGCACTGGCTGACAATAAACGTGTCCAACAGTTCTTCATCGCCCCATGGCAAGCAGATTCAGGCTGGACCTGGTGTTTTGCCGCCCAGGGCATCATCGTCTTCTTCGGCGCAATGCCCATCTTTGCCTTCTTGCACAAGTTTGGCCCGACTCTGCGCCATATGACCGGTACTCCTTCTTGGGTTAACCCGGAATTCGACACGTCGGCATGAATATATCATAGAGACGGATGGCGTTGTTGTTATCTTTGTTGTTTGGTGTGGCCCTTTCTATAGTAGTGAGCATCCATTGTGTGAAGTGTGTAGAATAGTAGTGATCGATGTGATACCCCCAGGAGAGATGAGAGGTGAGAGATGAGGTGTTTGGCGCTGTTTATGAAAAAAAAGGCGCATGGAGTTGGAAGATATAGGTTGGTTTACTAGGTCGCGGACAGTCCCGCGTCTCTGGTCATTTGGCCCTGTACCGTACAGCTGTTCTATCAGGTAGAGACGACCGACCGCCTATTCAGTGGCCGTGTCTAAACGTTGTATATAAGCATGATGGCCAAGCGGGAATTCCTTTCTACCTATAATAGTCCGGTCCCATTCGATCGGTGCCAGTGATGCGTCTCCTCCTAACCTTCATCAAGAGCATGTGGCCAAAGCCGACTGAACCCGTATCCACCCTTGAGGCTTGACTACCAGGTACCTGTCCTCCTATCCAGATATCTCAGCGCCAGGTGCAGTGGCTGTGTGTAGCGGATGGCCGTGAGGGGATAACGGCGTCTTAATGCTCATTGAGTCCCATTCCAGGCGGGTGTTCTTCCATCAAGGCCTCCGGGGACTCAGATAAGGGGTGCTTTGGTGCAGAACAAGGCGACCCTGGGCTCGCAGAACAGAATGGTAAAACGCTCGAGGGCTGCAAAATTTCCCACAGAAAGGGTTGACTTTGCGCTCTGGCCCCGGCCGGTAGGCGCCGTCCGAACGTTCGGTTGTATAGTTAGGAGGTGTGGACTGGCTCATTTGGAGCCCGCAAATGTGATGCGTTCGATTTCTGTTTTCCGGGTGATGCTGTGAGGGATGGATTCTGAAGTGCGGACACTGGTCGTCTTATCGGGTTTACGGCATATTAGTATGTTGGATCTCACAGAATCTCATGTAGTTGGCGCATCTGGGAGCGTATAGGGTAGAGTCAGTGCCCGCAAGACGACTCGCCAGCCGAAATTGATCGCTCGGTTGTTGTGACGGCACTCATCAGTCCGTCTCTCATATTTTCGAGTTCTGTTCAGACCCGCACCCGTCGCTGACCTTTTACATCATGAGGGATAGGCAAAGCATCGAAATCCTTTTGGCAATTCCATTCGGCTGACAAGCGTGGTACAGGCATGGCGATTGATGGTCTGCCGGATATCAATACCAGTAGTACCTGCTTCGATCGCCTCGTTCATGCTGTATCGTATCACATTCTCGTTTTGGCAAGTTCCTCGCCTCTCTCCTTGATAGTCTGCTTCCTGAGGTACCAATTGCGCAGGACTTCCCAGGAGGCCACGGCAGCCATGAACGGCGGACACAGCCACAAAGCCCAAGTCCACCACCTGGGACTTTTGGACCGGATATCTCGCACGACATTGGCGATCTGGAGTTTCAAGTCCTCCTTGCCGCCATCATTGTAAATGACATACCCTCGGCCGGCAGCCTTGTTTCCATTATTCCTCCGCTCGCACCTTGCGGCCTTTTCACGCACGTCGACTTGACTCTTGACGCGGTTTTCGGCATCTTCCGGCGACAGATGCGGATCCCGCTCCAGCAACCGCTGCAATTGGATCTTGGGGTCTGAAACCGCGACGACAATGACCGTGCTGCAGAATATGTCGAGCCCAGACTCAAATAGCAGAGGCACGTCCACCACCACCGCCCAATAGCCCAGGGCGTAGTAATATAACATGGCACGAGCGATGTAGAACCGCACCGCCGGGTGGACAATTGCATTGAGTTTCTTCCGGTCTTTGACTCTTTCTTCGCTGTTTCCAAATACTCGTCTCCCTAGCGCGGGGCGGTTGAGTGGTCTCCCTTTGCCGTTGGGCCCGTTCTCTAACCCGCCGCATTGCGGATCAGATGCTGGCAGGAGGAGGTCCGGTGTCGTCGGCCCAAAAGTAGCCACGATGCGTCGGTAGCCCCAGGTTCCGGGTTCGACTGCCTTGCGCGCCAGGAGGTCCGCATCGATCAAGGGTAGTGAATACGGTGGAGACGAGAGCGTTGCGGAACAGGTCGATTTGCCTGTCGCGATTGAGCCGGTGAGACCTATGACGCGCATTTTTGGAGATAGTATGGTAGAGGGACAGGCGTCTATTCACAAGAATTTTAGGGTATTCTTACACATGCAACGAGCTGCACATTGCAGTTCAAGTTGTCGAAAGAATGGAGGAGAGAGTACAACATTGTTAACGGCTGGTTGAGACCGAGGTACGACTCGTTCGGGGACACGGAAGATCTGATTATCCGCTCCGGGTCCAGCATCCTAGGTAAGGCTGCGCTAGTACGGAACAAGACACGGACGCAAACTTGAAGTTGAGGCCATCAAATGTGACACAGCGCAAGGCTGAACCTCCAACTACTAGTAGTATCAAGTATCCCAACTCATTTGAGCAAACATCACACTATTGTCTCCACTCCGTCTTACACAAAACCCGCGTCTGGGCAGGTCCAGTCCATAAATTGCACAACACTTCAACTTAAGAATTAAGACAGATTTTTTGAACAATTCAGAGACACACCAATGATATCTCACGGGCTCACCTTGACGTTGAAGTCGACCGGGCCCTGAGAGAGCGGCACGGCACCGCATCTCCAAAGCTCCTTTTCATCTGGTCCAGTCCATCCAGAACATGAGACCAGCGATATTGAATCAACTCAGTCATATACCAAAACCGCAAGCACTCTACAAACCCATCACCCAAACCAGCAGATCTAGATTTCAATTTCACAACCACAGCAAAATGGCCACATCAGTCACCATCTCACTGACCCCAGCAGAAAAGCTATTCCGACAATGTCTCCTCGACTGCCGGGGCTCAATGCAATCCGTGCCTGGGATGAAAGACCTCGTCCTCCGCTTCACAGGAGGATGGGTACGGGACAAACTACTCGGCACACAAAGCCACGACATCGACGTGGCACTAAGCACAATGACAGGATGGCAATTCGGCCTCGCAATGCAAGAATTTATGCGATCACACGGGTCTTACTACGAACAAGAAGCCGAGCGCCAGGGAATCCCATCAGCAGTCAAAGACATCCACAAGATCGAAGCGAACCCCGAGAAATCGAAACATTTGGAAACGATTACGACGCGCATGTTCGGGATCGATGTGGACTTCGTCAACCTGCGCAAAGAGGTGTACGACGAGACGTCGCGCAACCCGACCATGGAATTCGGCACGCCCGAGGAAGACGCATTGCGGCGCGACGCCACGGTCAACGCCCTCTTCTACAACTTGGACACACAGCTCGTCGAGGATTTCACGGGTCGTGGACTCGAGGACATGAAGCAGAAAATCATCCGTACGCCCTTGGCTCCCTATCAGACGTTCAAGGATGATCCACTCCGGGTCTTGCGCTTGATCCGGTTTGCGTGTCGTTTAGGGTATGAAATTGACCATGAGGCCAGGGAGGCCATGAAAGACAAAACTATCCATGAAGCACTGCGCATCAAAATCAGCAGAGAGCGCGTGGGGGTTGAAATCAATAAGATTATGGATGGGCCGGATCCGTACACGGGACTCAAGGATATTAATGATTTGGGGTTGTATAATACGGTCTTTGCGGATCCCAACAGCAACGAGGAAGACGCGGACTCGATAGACCCCTCCAAGGCCCTCCGGGCATATGATGGCCTACGACGGATTTTGGAAACCAAACCAACGCTATGCTTGAGTCTGCGGCCCAAACAGGATCAGCGACAAAGTTGGTTCCTGGCCGCATATGTGCCCTGGGCGGACTTGGAGTCGGAGTCGTCTGCCGCAAGAGCGTACAACGCGTCGCGCGAGGGCATCAAAGCCACGAATTCCATGAGCAGAGTCCTCAAGGAATCCATTGATCTTCGGCCCGACATTCTGGTCGTCCTGAAGGCTGTGCAGGATGACAAAGTGACCCGGTCGCAGGTCGGCATGCTTCTGCGGCAGTGCAAGGAACACTGGAGAGCTCATGTCCTCTACTCGCTCCTGTGTGACGTTGCAGAAGAAGGCGAGTTCGCCCAGGTCACGGACCTCTACCAAAAGTTTGTCGGATATATCCACGACCAGAAGCTCGAAGACGCTTACTTGATGGCGCCGATCCTCAAAGGCAACGAAATCACCCAGGCCCTGGGCGGGCCGAAGGGCGGTCCGTGGCTGAAACGCGCTGTTGATCTGCTTGCTGAATGGCAGTTCAGCCATCCGGAAGCCACCAAAGAAGAAGCCGTGGACATGATTGTCAGCAAAAAAGACGAGCTGAATATTACGGAACCAGTCACGCCCAGTAATAAGAAGTCAAAGACCAAAAAATCATCATGACGCCGCCACCACCGCTTAATGATTGTCGAAGATATCATGATTCAGCGCAGCGTTGATTCCGGGGTAACAGTAATGGAAGAAAAAAAAGTTTGTAGCATTCGTGATGGCATTATTATACGCTTCCCAGCAAGCTTTGCTTTCAATGGCTGAGGATCAAGCCGCCTGAAAAGCGCTCTGACGCAGCAGTGTAAAGAAGATACGTACTCATGATTGAAATATGGAACATGCCATGTCCCAAGACCAAACCCGTAACGCCTTTCTCTTGCCAGCAGCGTGTGTCCAGAAACAAGCTGCCACATCATTTCAAAAGCACAATCAACAGAAGCAAAATGACAATCAGAACAATGATCGTCGTCATCCCCCAGTTCTGCTTGGCTGTTCGGCTTACGCCCTTTAACCGCCGTTTTGCACCGTCTAGGCGACTCTGATGTCTATCCACGCCTCGATCCACCTCGTCCAGCAAGGAAATCTGACCTTCCAACTCGTCACCGACTTGTAATGCCAAATGTCGTTGGCGGCCGATGGACTCTCCCAGCCGGTCGAGTTGTTCATCTTGTTCGGCCATGACCTGCTGGTGGTACGCATGAATTTGTACATTGGTCATCGAAGTCGGGTCTGGAGTCTTTACGCGATCCGTGTCATCGTCTGTATATCTTTGCGTAAATAATGCAGCGCGGTTGGCCTCGTCCTGCTCATCAAGAGACTCTTGTGAAGGATTGTCGCGGAACCGGACATTTTTGGAAGTTTGGCTCGTCTGGGTAGAGTCTTGCTTTCGTAGGTTCGAAGTAAGTTGCCGCCGAGAGTCGCTGGAGATGCGACTTTGAGCGCGAGCAAAGTCGTCCTTCAACACAGGGTCGTGCGAAGATGACTGCGTTGTGGCAGCCGAAGTGGTGTCCTCGCCACGGAACAGCTTACACAGTTCATCGTATTCTGACCTTAGTTGCTCCAATGACTCGTCGTCCGGCGAACGGGTAGCGAGTGATTCGATGCCCTCTCGTAACGATTCTAGAGAGCGGGCGATGTTGGAGTCTAGTGTTTTCGTCTCTTGTTTCAGACCGAGGACCCGTACGCGCTCGAGCAGGAGGAGCTTCGTATGATCGACAAGCAGCAGTAGCTGGGACGCGTTCGACATTGTGTGTGAAAGGGTGGGTTCGTGGCGCGGGAGAAGCGTTGTTCTTCGAAGGATGCCTGACTACGGTAAGACTGCGGAGCGGGATACAGGCCAACTGAAGGCCGGAGTTAATCACGGCCGCAGTGAGTTGACAAGGTTAGGAGTTGTTGAGGTCGATCAGAGATATTTAACTTCGCATGGGGGGATGTTGAGCGGCAGCAAGGAGAATGTGAGTTCCAAATGTACCGCAGTACGTCAGTTGAGAGTGTTTGGAGTTGTAAGGTACTCGAGCGGATTTGCGGAGCCGCAGATGAAGCAGCTGCAGCGCCGACTCGGAGCGGGAGACGTGAGACTCGGAGTTGGAAGATCGGAGGCAGAAGGCTGGCAGGTGGTTTTAGTGTCTCACTATTGCCATAAAACGGATGTTAGTGACTGCTAGTGGGAGTGAGAGAGTGCATACTCCGGGGCTAAGGGAGGCCGAGGGCTAGACCCCTTACTAGTGCTGGGGTCATTCTGGGTGCTGGAACAGCCGTCCAGGCCTCCCCAGGCCTTAAGTTTAGGGCTTAGGCAGCACCGGCCAGCCAATTCGGGTCGTCGTAGTGGCAGTTATAAAGCAAGTGGGGGATCCCGGACTGGAGCCAACGGAGAGCGAGAGGGACAAGGAGCACTCCCGAGGCACCCATCACTGGCACTCTCCCTTCCGCTTGTACGACTCCCAAGTCCTACATACATTCTTCGGATGCCAACAACTTGAACACCTACTTGTACTCCCAGTGTCCCAAGTCATCAATCCAACTCCCTCCCAGTATGCCCCCTTGAGGCCTTCGCATTTCACTCCCTCTCGATGGATAACCAAGAGTTCTATCCTCCCGGTCTTGCCGCCGACGACGCTTCCTTACCAAGTCCCATTCAACCGCATCTCGATACTCTTTTCGCGGAATTCGCTCGATCTCGCTCAAGAGCGTCCCTGCCATCCTCCTCGTCTGTCCTGTCTCACCGAGAGACGCGCGATAACCGCGGTCATGCCAACAGTGACAAGCCCGAGTCCAAAGTAGACCTCCGCGCGCTCGAATACGTCGAGGATTACGATTCGCATTTGATGTGTCCGATCTGCCATGTCCCATTCGTGCAGCCAGTGGTGCTCGAGTGCGACCATACTTTCTGCGATTCTTGTTTGAAGGAATATCGAGAAGAAGCCAACAGTGATGCTCGCTCACGCTGTCCCACCTGCCGGAGTATCCTTCTTTCTGCGCCACGGAAAGCCTCTCGGCTCATCGTCAACATGTGTAATGAGATACCAGTCCGCTGTCCGAACGAGGGCTGTAAGGAGACACACCCACGAGGCTGTATTGAAAACCATGCGACCAAAGAGTGTCCTTACGAACGTCTGCAGTGTCCCGACCCTACCTGTGGCAAGGTGGTACGGAGGAAGAACTATGTACCAGACCAATGTATACACAGTTCGCATATCGAATGCGAATGTGGGGAGGTGATTGAACTTGGCAAGGGAGAGTGGTTGAGGCATAAGGATGAAGATTGCCCAAATACCGGCGTCAAGTGTGAGGATTGCGGGCAGAGAATCTCGGCGAAGGATTACCTTGCGGGAAGCGGCGGCCATATTTGCAGCAGTGACAACAGCCATACTTGTCCTGGAAAGGAATACGGCTGTACAGACGAGTTTTCACCAGAAGACGCAGAGGCACACTTCAAGACTTGCCCTATTGCCCGGCTGGCCCCCGTTCTCCGCAAACAAACCCAGCTTATACAGTCACTTCAAGAGCAGTTGACCATGGTCAAAGTGCGCAACGAGGTTCTGGAGAGCGGTTTTGACAAGCTCAACGATGTGCTCAATGACCGTGTCTTGCCTCACGTCGCTCACTCGGACCATTCTCCCGCGGAAGCATCGGATGTGGAGGAGATCGAACGGGACCATATCCCCACGGCATTGTCGCAGCGTGACCTGCTCATGTCGGCACGGCTTCGCGCCCTAACACCATCGCCAGACCGGGACTCTTTGTCGATTTCGCAAACACAGCAACACCTGTTGGCGCTTCACGAATCCTTGCGGGGAGATGTGTCGAATATGGAAAACGACATTTCAGCGTTATCCACCACCATCAACGATATCGATGCTCGCACGTCGATGCAGATCATGAACGAGACGCTGCGCATCAAGGAGGACTTGGCCCACACCAACGCGGCCCTTTTCAGCACGCGAGCGCAGGTTCAGTGGCTGCTAAATAGAGAGAGGATAGGCCAGCAACAGCAGGCCATGGGAATGCGTGGACGAGCCCCTTCGGCGCAGCCGCCGCCAGTATCCGCGCGCAGTTCTGTTTCCGAGGGAGGTGATTCAGTCGGGCAGAGTTCGACGTCGGAGTCTCATCCGTTGTCGAATCTCGGGACCAGTCCTCCTACTCTCCGACCTCTAATGAGGCGGCTTAGTGGTGGCAGCCAGGAGAGAGTCAAGTTGTAACAGTGATGACATGATGTGTTGCTATGGGGCTACATCGGCTCTGCCCAGCAAGTGGGTGTACGATGCATGAGTACTATGATGGTTTGTTTTGAGCATTTCGCTGCAGTGGTTCCGTGCAGAACATGGAAGTTTGGCTAGCAGTTTACGTTGAGAGATCAATCATTTGCTGTTCTGAAAGTGGTCCATTCAGAACATTTCATCGGTCTGTCTGCTGTATTGCAGAACTTGAACCCCATTTCCCAGAAAAACCTCCCCCCAACCCATCACTTGGGGGATCACATGCTGCGTGCTTCTGGTTGTGATGTTTGGGAGTACTGTAATACTTTTGGTTCTACCTAGGTGCCTTTCCTTCTCAACATACTAGTACGCCGATGATTCCACAATCTGTAGTAGCGAAATGCAGGTTGTATATATGGCACTCGATAGTACGCAAGCTGATTGAGTGTTCATGCTTGAACTCAAGTCTTCGGACCTTGAACCCAGCGAAATTGTCATCGGGTCCAGCAGTAGTCTGAACTGGTGGTGAGTATTTCTTGGATATATATATAGCTCCCTGATTGCGATTACCATGCAATGCTAATAAAGGTACGGTAGACTGTCTCCATGCACGTGTCGTGGGTCGTGGGCTAGGAATCAATGAATTACACCCAGTCTGCAGAAAGAGACGTCCGAAACTGAGGTCGACAGCACAACCCGGAAGGGTCTCAAAAAGACCAACTTTGAACTTTCCTCTGGACGTGGGAGTCGGACTGACTCTCGTTTCGTTTCGTTTCGTTTCCGCACATCTGTTTTACAAAGTCACTGCCTCGATTCTTTCAGCTCAAATCAAACCTAGCAAGTACTGCAAGAAGCCAGGACAGGGCCACTCAGTCAAAACGACTCGAGCTCCACCTTAGAACATGATACATCTGGGTAAGGTATATATATGTTGCAGCTCGCTGCACATGCAGTTTCCGGGATCCTCCACTGTCGTATATCTGCAAGTACAAGGGTCACATCCATGTTCATCAACAAAGATATATACATATATATATGCTGACGGCGTATCGGTGTCCCCACTCAACAACAGGTCAGAGAGAGTCACTTGGTCAAACAAGCCGAGCCCGGCCCTTATGTTCTGATAGACAGCTGAACTGTCAACGGCCAACCAGTCAGACTCAAACGGGCGCTGTGCTGCGCTGCTTTCTGTTGTGCCTTACTTCAATGACCAAAAGAAGTAGTCGTTGCGGTCTTGACCAGATCCTTGTTCTCGCGCTGCCATTGCTTCGAATACCTGACGCCGAAGCCGCGACTGAAGACCTCGCGGATGGCCTCGAGCGGCATGCCTTTGCACTCGGGGTAACAGAAGACGATAAAGACCCAGCCGACGAAGCAGATGCCGCAGTAGAACCCGAACGCGCCGGACGGGGTGATGCCTTTCATCATGGACAAAAAGGTCGAGGAGATGATGATGTTGGTACTCCAGCAAGTTACGGTATTCTAGAAACGTCACAAAAATACGTCAGACAATAACGGTGAAAAAAAGTATTGTGGACTTGGACTTACCAGCATAGTACCCACGGCCCGGACTTCCAGCGGGATGAGCTCCGTACCGATCCAAGCAATGGTGGCGACGCCCGAGGAAAAGAAAGCGACATAACACACGATTGTGACTAGGACCAACGTAGCCGGCCACCCGACATGATCCGTCTCCAGCTCCAAGTTATGGTTGAGCGGGATGTAATGGAACGAGACGGCGGCGATGAGCATGCAAACCGACATTCCCAGTACGGTGATGGCCAGGATGATCCTACGGCCGAAGCGGTCGACGAGCACGAGGTTGACGAGTGAAAAGACAAAGTTGGTGCCGGACACGGTAATGGCGACCGCGGTGGCGTTGGTGAACCCGACCAGCCCGAACAGCGTCGCGGCGTAGTACATGAGCGTATTGAACCCGCCGAGCTGCGAGATGGCCATGATGACACACGCCGTCAGGACTGCACGGCCCGTGGCGGGCGTGGTGAAGACGCGTTTGAACGTGACCCAGATGGATTCGTCCGTCATGGCCGATGTGGCTTCGTGGATGGACATTTCGATCGCCTGGATCTTGGCCGACCGCTGTTCGCGCGACGACGTCGGGTAGATGCGCAGCAGGACCGCGTCGGCCGCATCGTGTTTGCTGTGAGACACCAGTTGACGAGGTGACTCCGGGCAGAGCAACAAAAGGGCCGCGAGCGCGAGCGGCGGGAACGCTCCGATGCCCACGGTGGCCCGCCAACCTTCACCCTTGACGTGTTGGAAACCCGCGCCGAGCGCGCTGGCTACGAGCTGTCCGAAGGTTACGCTCATGTTGTTGAACGCGATCATTCGGCCGCGGTATTTGGCTGGTGCGAGTTCACCGACTAGACGCGAGATGGTCAGCAAGAGGGAATCGGATCAGGGAGCTGAAGGAAAAGAAGAGCGGTGATCTGGATATGATCAAGGCCAAAAGTCGAGTGCTGTTGATACTCACTGTAAAGCGGGACAATCATGGCGGCAGACCCGACTCCCAAACCGACCACGAATCGGCCAACGCCAAACTGTTCGACCGAGTAGGCGCACGTTTGTAGGACGGTGCCGATGACGAACAAGGCACATGCTCCCCAGATGGGGAGGCGGCGACCCCATCGGTCGGCCGTCATGCCTGCGTAGACGGCTCCGACCAAGGCACCGCCGCTGGTCAGCGAGGTGACGAGCTCTTGTTCGCTCGAGCTTAGTTCATGGCCGAGAGACGTTCCGATCGTGACGAGGACGGACGAGATGTAGCCCGTGTCGTAGCCTGTTGGCACCAGTCAGCACCGGACCAAACCCAGCCCAGCTGTTGCAACTGTAGCAGACATTCTTCCCGCCCACTCGGTACTTACCAAAAAGAAACCCGCCGATAGAGACGGTGATAGAGATCAGCCAGGCTGCTGTGGACGCAGCCGTGTCCTCGATGCCACTGAGCTCGGCGACTTCTTCCGACGTGCTCTTTCTGCGCTCAATGGTCTCGACATGGGCGCCGTCGCCAACGTCTTTGTCGTCGTAAGCCATGCTTTTATTCTTCTTTCCTTCAATGGGAAGCTGCTGCCTGTGGTGCCGTGTTGACCGTTGAGCTGGCCTGGGCTGGAGTGGGCTTGCCGTATGACAACTGTGCAAGTAATGTTCTTGTTCTTTGGCAGCCTGTCGTGGACTGGGCCAGACTGAAGAAGAGAGAGAGACGTTGAAGTGGAATTGCCGACTTCTTTTATGCCTGACTCGATGGAGACAAATGATAAGCCTTGCAGAGCGCCCATCGATTATAATTCGTCCGCCGACCATTCGCCAGCATCACCAGGCTCTGGAGAAAGAAGATGCGGATCTCCCTATCCCCGTGGGGAGTAAATGGCCTGTGGCCGGGGAATGTAACGTGGGTTGTTGGCCTTATACTATGGAGGCGAGGCATGTCCATACACAACCATTCATTGATGGTGTTCAGTCCCCATTGAGTCTCCATACTCCGTCCATACTCCGTTCCGTCGGCTTTGCAAGGACCTATCCGGCCTGTGGGTCGGAATAGATTTCTTCTTTGGATCGTAAGCGATGTCCTGGGTATCTTGGGCTTCCCTCGGCAGACGGTGGCCTGTGGACACGGTCGGCAAAGTTCGGAAATGAGCTTCATCGCTGGCCCCGGAGTGCAACGTCAGCGGCGATCGATCTCCTATCCAAATCGATCCTAGACATCGGCCTTGGGAAAGATAGCTGTGTACAGACGTTCATGGAAAGATTCTTGCGGTAAATTATCGAGAAGGCATGGAGATGAGATACCTCGCCCATGGACACCACATCTAGGAGTTGTGCGGTGCAGTCGGTAGCATCATCATGAGGCGCGAGACTGGAAAAATGCTTCGATTTCCGGTGCATCGCCATCGTTATCGGATGCTTCGGCTGCTAGAGGTCTGTGTAGTAGTAGTTGACTCGAAGTATTGAGTGTCTAAGGACACCGGGATTGCCATTTCTTAGACAGCACGACAACTTCGAGAACAATCTGTCAATCCTTGTGCCGCGTTGTAGCAAAGAGCGGTATCGAGTTAAACCCTAGATTACAAGAGGTTTCGTGCAGAGTATGGTAGATATCAGACAAAGCGGTTCTTGACTGATTAGGTGGTCGTGACAACTATGTTCAATCTATGTATATGGATAATGTAGGATAACAATGGCTACTGCATTCAAGTTGATCCCTCTAAGTCCGAGCTGTACGGTCCCTCTCCCTCCTCCAAATCTTGACCGGCATCTCACCCAGCAACCAATTCATTGTCTCCAGCCTCTGGATCTCCCAGTTCGGATGCGGCAGCGCAAACTCGTACCGTCGGAGCATCGAGGCCAACTGCACGGCCTGCTCCAAGTAGGAGATATTGCGACCAATACAGCCTCTCGCACCGGCCGAGAAGGCCAGGAAATACGGCTGCAGATTCTTACCTTCCTCACCCAGCCATCGCTCGGGAATGAACTTGTTGGCCTGCGGAAACACGGATTCGATGCGGTGGGCGACCAGCGCCGACATGCCCACGGTGACTCCTCCAGGGATGTAGTCATCCACAATCTGGGCGCCCTCGGGCGGCGTCTCGCGCGACAATGCCTGCGGCGTAGGCGGGAACAGTCGCAACGATTCATCCAGACAAGCTCGTAGGTAGGGTAAATGTTTGACGCGATCGTAGGGGACGACACCCGACTGAAGTCCTCCTTCTTCCTCCTCGTCCATATCGTCCAGCGCGGCGTCAAGCTCCTCGACCAGCTTTTTCATCACCCTCGGGTTCTTGAGCAGCTGATACATGACATTCGTCATGGCAATGGCGGTAGTCGCGCTACCGGCGTTCATCATGATACTGACTTCGGCCACGATCTCGCCCCATTCGAGGTTATTGGGGTTTCCGTTTTTGTCTTCCATGAGGGCTTGGAAGAAGTCGTCCAGCTTCTCACCTGCACGGTAGCGCTGGAGTCGACGGTGGGCCAGTTCGTGCGGGATGCCGTCCCAGTCCGTGGCGCACTTGCCCATCCTTCCATAAAACGGGATGATGTTGGCGATTTTGTTGATGATTGGATACCACTCGTACGGCCAAACCAAAAGCGATTGTTTGCGGGCGTTCTGGTACAGGCTCTCGCGAAAATTGCATTCGTACGTCGTGCCGTCGGTCCGTCGCCCCGTGATGCGGTCGTGCCCGTGGTCCAGAAACCCGAGTTTCTCGGACAGGCCAATGTCGGCGATGGCCTCGATGGTGAAGAAATTCGTCCATGCCCGATAGTCCACTTTGAGGTCGGATGGATCAGGTATCGGTCGTTCTTTGGTTAAGGGAGCGGTACAGCACTTGTCGAAGTGGGCAATCAGTCTCGCTGTCTTGTCGGCCACCTTATGCTCCCAGCCCTCAAGGTTCTTCAACGCGTACGCGGACGATAGCACCTTGCGTTTCCGTGCGTGGTCGGGCTTGTCGATCACGTCGGCAAGGTGGAAGTGCGACCCTGCCGTCAAGACGTATAATGCGTCCTTGCTGCACTTGGTGTTGTGCCCGTAAATGTCCTTGATCGCCCGCGGGTCGGCGTATGATAGCGTGTTGGGTCCTGTCCGTATCACGGGGTGTTTCTTGTGAAGTTTCGAGAGATACGTTGACCGGGCTCCTCCATGTGCAACGATCATGAAGGGGATTGAACTGATCCCGGACAGAGGATGCATGTTGGGGAACTTGCGGAGGCCTGGATAGATAGTCATTCAGTCAAAGTCCTGACAAACCGTTTAGCTTCTGGACAGCATAGCATACCTTTGGCATCTCGAAAGTATACAATGACGGGATATACCACAAAGTACAGGATACAACAGGCCCCTAGAAGCACGGTATAGGGAGCCGCTGTCAAGGCGGACATGGTGTCGACCATAGTATTCGTGCGTTCAAGTCTGTAGTATGATGGTAGCAAGGAGGATGTTGATGCTGGGACCAGGATACTCGGGTCTGACTCCTTTAGGGTCTCAAACCGAAGCCCTGAGTATCTGTCTCGGTGAAGACGAGTGTGTCGAATATCTTTGTACTGGATTCAGGTCATACAGATGTGACGAGTTCGAGGACGCGTATTTCATTGCATCGGTGCTTTCCTCGAGCTCTTCAAATATACATATACCTCCTCCTCATGGTGGCATGGCATGTAAAGTGGTACCAGCATGCCTCCCCCACGGTCCTCCCGCCAACAACTTGAAGTCCTTGCGCCATGCACGCTCTCCGGACATGGCATGTTGATCCATCGTAGCGACAATAATCGGCGAACGCGAGGGTGACTTGAGTGAGCCGCTAGAGGGACCGACCAGAAGAGAGGGAATCGGATAGTCCATTCTCAGACCAAAACAGGAAATCTTTCTCCGGCCTGACCCACGCACGGATCCATCGCCTTTCAGTTCAAGTTGCTGGCGCCGCGGGGCCCCATGGCAAAGGGATCAATCAATCCCTCCATCGCAGTCCCACCAGGGTACAACATGCCTGGTTCTTCCAAAGAGGCAATCGTGTCCCGAAGCACGATTTGACTGTACTGTCGATGTTGTGGGGATTCCCCGGTAAGAGACTGGAAATGGAGAATGCCTGACAGCTCCCCCACTACTGAACAAGACATCTGGGGACGTCGACAACGCAAATCACAAGCGGCCGGGCGAGACAAGACCAAAGACGCTGCTCTCGCGCTCTCACTGGCACCCTCGCAACACAGACAAACAGGTCAGTCACAAGAAGAGGTAGGGTACTAACAGGTACCTATATCTGGCCACCATGGGCCTCTCCTCTGGCCATAAAATCTCCTGAGAAGCCACTCCAGTGTCCATCGAGACACTGCATCTACGGCCTACCGGCAAGAACTGGCACCGTCAAACTCGAAACTCCTTCAGCCTCGCCTCGCTCACATCGCAACAATGGCCTCGGCCAACTTCATGTCAGAGACGACATTCCCCGTGTTCTTACGACAACTGAACCTACCTCTCCATCCTGCCGTCTGGACAGACTACGTTGCTCTTGTCGTCTTCGCCGGTTTATTGGTCGTCTATCTGACTCGCGGTCTTCTCTGGGACGTCCCTGACCCCTATTACCACGTCTACTTTGAGCGACCCCAATCGGACGGGAAGGATCAAAACTCAGCAAAGTCAAACCAGACAAAAGCTCAACGCAGCATTGCAAAGAAGCTGAACGAAACCGACAAACGGGCAGTCATCTTCTGGGGCTCTCAATCAGGCACGGCCGAGCGCTTCGCAACCCAACTGGCCAAGGAATGTCAATCGCGGTTCGGGCTGGGCTGTCTGGCGGCTGACCTGTCCGACTACGACGCAGAGTCGATCGCTGAATTGGCACCAACGCAGTTGGCCATCTTCATTCTGTCCACTTACGGCGAGGGCGATCCGAGCGACAATGCCACTGGGTTCTGGGACTGGATCAACAACAACTTGAACAACAGCAACAATAGAGCTACAACCCACCCAGCGGCGGCACCACTCCTGTCGAACCTCCAATACGCCGCATTCGGCCTGGGAAACAGCAACTACAAATACTTCAATCGAGTCGTCGACGTGGTGGCACAGACATTGACCGAGAATGGCGCGACCCTACTTCTCCCCGTAGGCAAGGCCGATGATGCCCAGCGCTCAACCGAAGAAGATTTTTTGGCGTGGAAAGACGCGCTGTACGCCATGTTCAGAACGTATCTCGGTCTTGAGGAGCGGGTCGTCGAGTACCAGCCGGCCATTACCATTGTGGAAGACGAATCCTTGACATCGATCGACCTGCATCATGGCGAACCTGTTGGAGTGATCAACAACAGCAACAATTGTTCGCCGATCCGCGCCTTGTCCATCAAGAATGCGCGGGAATTGTTTGCTCCTTCATTGTCCGGGACCGACAGAAACTGCGTCCACATGGAGCTAGATCTGGCCGAGTACCCGGACATCCATTACAAGACCGGTGACCATCTCGGCGTGTGGCCGATCAATCCCAACCACGAAGTCGACGAGCTGTTGACCGCGCTCCAGCTGCATGAACGGCAAGACGTGCCCGTTTTGCTGAAATCGGTCGAAGGGGAGGGCGCCAAACTCCAGCTTCCGTCGCCGACCACGGTTCGCGCCCTGTTCACACACTACCTCGAGGTGTCTGCACCCGTCTCTCGCAGCACGATCCAAGGCCTGTTGGCCTTCGCTCCGACCGCCGAGGCCAAGTCCTACCTACTCAAGCTCGCGCAAGATAAGGACGTGTATGCGTCGTACCTGGCCACAACGCACCTCACGCTCGGCCGGCTGCTGAGGCTGGCGAGCCCCAATGAGCCATGGACGGCTCTGCCGCTGTCGTTTGTCGTCGAGGCGTTGCCGCCAATCCAGCCGCGCTATTACTCGATTTCGTCCAGCAGCGTCCTCAGTCCACGGCGAGCCGCCATCACGGCACTCGTGGCGGCCGATGCTCTCCCCGCCAATCCGCAGCAGAAAATCAATGGTGTGGCATCAAATTATCTGCTTGCGCTTTCAAAGTCACAGTCTTCGCACGCTCATGATTCTGCTTCGGCAGAAGCAAAGGATATTGCTCCTCCAGAGATTGACGCTACCACGTACGACGTGGCGGGCCCGTCAAACCTGCTACAGGGCACCAAGCTATTTGCACACGTGCGCAAGAGCAAATTCAAGCTCCCGCTCCAAAGCAGCTGTCCGATCATCATGGTAGCAGCGGGAACTGGGTTGGCGCCCTTTCGAGCGTTCGTGGCCGAGCGCGCCAAACTGCACTCCATCGGTAAGCCCGTCGGCGAGATGCTGCTGTTCTTCGGGTGCCGCCATCCCGACGAGGATTTCATCTACCGTGACGAGCTGATGCGGGTGGCTGTGGCCGGATCCGATCAGGATTCCGATTCCTCCCCCTTGCTCAAAGTGGTCACCGCGTTTTCTCGATTGCCCGGCGAACCCAAGGTCTATGTGCAACAGCGGGTGCGCGAGTACGGCAGACAAGTAGTCGACTTGATCGAGGACAAGGGCGCCAACTTCTATATCTGCGGTCGTGCCGCAATGGCTCGCGAGGTCGGCGCCAGTGTCGCCGAGGCCATTAAGGAGGCTAGAGGCTGGGACGACTCTCAAGTCAAGAGTTGGACTGAAGGGCTCAAACGCAGGGGCAAGTGGCGTGAAGATGTGTGGGGTTAGGTTGACCTTGTCATGAATGATAGACCACCGTTAGTTAGCATGCTGAGAAAAACATGAATGTTAGACCGGAAAGACCATATACGCTGTTCTGTTCTGTTAGGCAAACAAGCAGCCTGCAGCTGCTTCAAGATTGCCACTGTTCCTTGAGATCGCGCAGGACATGTGCTGTTTGCCAGCCTAGGCGTGTATGCATCCGAACGAGGAACTCGACTGCCGCCTCCTGCTCTTCAGGGTCGTCCAAATACATGCCGCCTGAGGAGCAGGTCAGTTTAATCAGATCACTTCATCGGTCAGGCGAGAAAATTAGGTAAGCTTACAAGCCGACAGAATATGCGACGCTTGAAACATAGCCGTGGCGACGTGGTCGTTGCTCACTGCCAGGCCAAGCACCAGTCGAAGGTTCTCACGTACCACCGACTAGCATGGATCAGTTAGTTGTCTTCAGTCTAGTCCCGCTGCATGGGAGGAAGAAGAATGGAAAGAAAGGCGTAGCGTACCTCGGAAGCTCTCCTGAGCCGAAGAGAGTCAAAGCTCAGCCTGGAAAGCCGGGGATCGTAGATAGCCAGGACAATCTTGGCCAAGTAATAGTGCTGCAATCCCACGACTGTAGTGGCAAGAAAAGAGTGAGAAGACATATATATGTATGTAGGGACGGTATGCGTTACCTTGGGCAGGATTACACACAAAGACCTCGGGCCAGACGCTGCGCCGCGGACCATCTGAGGCTGTCGTGTGTGTGTCTGGACGCTCCATAAACAAGGGTGCAAAGTGCCACGGCTTGGATAGATCCCATGACCTCACATCCGCGTCTAGCTCGTTCCACTGGTCAACAGACAGCTGTTGTTCGCCTTCTGGCCGAAAGACATGCGTCAGGATACTGGCAAATATGAAGATGATGCGATTCGCCCAGGACTCATCGTCCGAGTTTTGGAAGACGTTCGAGTGCCGGTAGTTGGTGAGGTTGATGGTCAGCGGGTGCTGCGAAGTCAGGCAAATGTATATGTGCTGTCGCAGTGATACCCAACTTGCCGACTCGCGGAGGCCACCATCGGCAGCAAACGAGGCAATTGAGTTCAGTAGTCGGGTCGTGCCAAACAGATGGCATCTTTCATCGTTGTCTGGTCTCTCTATCAGAATTGTCTATGCTCGCTCGAAGATCTTGAGTCTCACCCGACAGTTCTTCATGTGTCCGGAGCAGAATAATGGCAGCAAGGAGGTTCTCGTCAAAGTGACCCATCGGATCTTCCAAGGCTGTGATCAGAATGCGTAGACACTCGCTCACGTAGTGCGGCGATTCGTCGTCTTCCGCACCCGCTATCAGACTCATGTGACGGGACGAAACTGCGAAAATGGCACTTCGGATGACGGGGTAATGGGCTGCTCGTCTGGGAATCTCGTTGCCGAAGTGGCTCTGCTTGTCACAGGAGTCGAACTGCCGGTCCGGACAGGTCAACACAATACGACATTTTGCCCGCCTCTTGGTCATACAGCTTGCTTACCTGTGGTGAGAGATGGACAATATAGTGATGCAGCAGACGTGCTTCGTGAAGACTTTTGAACAGCCATGACGACGATATCCCATAATTCGGAGAGGCTGCATTGGATGGTACGCTAAAAAGCGCAGGAGAAGGCTGACGGCCTGGAAACCAGGTAGCAGAATGGGTGGACGATATCCCGACAGAAGGATGCGCCGGCGCTGAAAACTGAGACTCCGGGCTGGTGTGCTGGAGACTGTAGTGCTGGACCGGGCTTTGATGAAACGCTGGCTGTGGTGGTGGTGATGCCCACGGGTGGGCAGCTGATGCTAATGCTGAGGTTGGATTTCGTTCTCGTAGAAGGTCTGCTTGGGTATTCGACGTAACAGTTCGTGCTGAAGGGCTCTCGACTAGCAAAGATTCGCTCTCCTTGGTGATTTCACCGTCGGTCTCCTCCTCGATGTCAAGGTCAGGTCTATCTAGGCTCTCGCCCTTGTCGTTGGAGGACACGAAGCGTACTGTATGTTGCTCGAGATCAACAGGCGTGTCCCTGACGACGGAGAAGGAGAAGGGTGCATTGCCCACCTTCTGCTGGAACATCAACCCAGACCTGCAGGGAACTGTGCCTCAAATCATGTTTGATTCTTCTTCCATCAACGGTTTTGAGGCGAACCGACTTGACCGGCCGAAAATGCAAGGGCGCGTTGAGCAGGCAGTCCCGCTGAGCTTCGATGCACTTCTGGCACTTCTGGAGGCCTGGCAGCCTGACACCTTCGCTGGAGTAAGACTCTAGTGGAGAGTGTCATGGCTAAGGAGACTTACATTTCACATGGCGATCACGACACGGCTGGCTGATGGTTCAGCTCGTCAGTACCTAGATTGGTTCCCACAATTGAGGCATCCTCAGACTCACCATCCTGTTCTCGCACGCATGACCCATCCACAACTGTGACAATGCCAGCGAGGCTGAAGGGCGGGAGTTGAAAGTGAGGTTTGCGGTGGGAAAAGGAAGTCAAGCCCGAGGATGAAAAGAGATATACTAAGCCGAGGAGCGAGAGAACAGGCACTGAGACACACTGGCATGGCAGAGACAAGACACGATCCACTCCGGGACACTCCCTACTAGTAGGAGCATTTATTCCCCGGACCTCTGCCCCCATGTCGTCTGTATCCCCGCGTTTGATGGGGGGTATGGGGAGAGATTGTATTGGGGTAGACAGACTAACACGGAGCCTTAGGACCACTACTACTGGTAGCCAATAATTCCGAAAATCAAAATCGCAAAATCGTAATAAATAAGTAATTAGCGTAAACTCGAGCATCATTTTGAATGGTTATACTATATTGCCTCACTGATCATACATGCTCCAGAGATACTGGCTCCTTGATGGAACTGCGCATGAATGGACTCTTCGCTCTCAATGTCGGGCCCCATTTCAGAAGACAAACGGGTGCGAATGAGACGACCAATGCAATGAAAGCGAGCAGTGTGCTCGCCCATTGAAAGCCCAGATTCCCGTACATGGTATAGGTGGACAGGGGAAGCAAGGCGGCGAACAGATTTTCGCCAAACACAATGGCGGCCATGGCGCTTCCCGCGTACTTGCTGTAGACATCCATAATGTAGTCTGATATAGCCGCGATGACCAGATTGGCACCGTACCCAACCATCGCGAGACCGATGGTAGGTGCAATCCAAGGGATCCACGCGTACGATGTCCAGGCATATATAAACATGCCTCCGGTGACGCCCACAAAGCTGCCAAAGACACTCAAGTAGAGCTTTGTTTCTGGGATCGGCTGTTGGCTCGCTCCTCCGTTGCGTGCCGAAATGAACTTTGTGTAGGCTGAGATGCTGAGACATCCGATGATTTCCCCAATCACCACCGCTGACTGAACATAGCCGATTTGGTAGGTCGTCCAGCCATATAACGCACTGAAGACTTGTCCGACAGATTGAGTAAACATGTAGACCGTGCCGATCATGAAAGACGCCCAGATTGTGAAAGCAAGGAGTACGGGCTCGGTGAATAGCATGTACATCGGTCTTCTGACGGCCTCGGTGACCTTGAGCAAGATAGATCTCCAGCTTCGGTGATCCTCTTCGGCCACTGGTGCTTTTTCGCTTGTTGGTGATGACGCCTTGTTTGTTTTCCGTTGAATGACGGCGGGGACGGTTTCTGGAATCATAAAGTAGAATAGAGGAAACATTGCTCCGAACCAAATTAACTGCAGGTAGCCGATCCATCGCCAGGACAGATACTGGAGAATAACCGCTCCAATGATAGGACCACTGCTACTGCCAGCCAAGAATGCAGCAATGAATAAATTGACGGGGAATTTGCGCTCATCGTCGTTTTTCCAGATGTTGGTGATGACGCTGATGGAAGTATTGGCGAGAATCAGGGAGCAACCGCCAGCGAAGAAGCGAGAGACGATTAGGGTCGCAAAATTCTTTGCCAACGCTTGTGGTATAATGAAGCATAGAAACACGACGTATGTGGACAGGAACCCGGGGCGGACTCCAAAGTCTTCGATAAGTGGTAGGCCGATCAACGGGAAAATGGCTCCCCCTAGCGCCCAGCTGGTCACGACCCAGTAAAAGTTGGGAAACCGTACTTCATCGACGTGGAATTCGTCGGAAATGTGTTTGTGGGCGACCGTGATGATGGTTCCATTCATGATGGTCGTATATGTTGCCCAGACCGCCACCATGGTACCGATCCATCTTTTCTTTCGAGACCAGTGGTCTGGATCGCTCGAAAGAGGTACGAGGGGTATGTCATGGGAGCTCAGGTCGCTCGATCCGCCTGCTTCGTAGATACCTAAAGGGCATATGAGTTCCTCGTCACAAACCACAAGAGTCCTTAGCCTACCCGGTTCTCGGAAGGCTGGGAGATCCACGTCCTTCTGCGCTTGGAGAGCCATCTCGCAGAAAGCGAAGTCGAGGGATAGGAAGAAGGAAAGAAGCGATCTGAACCCAACAAGGACTTCACGATATGAATATCACAACCAACATATCAATAAACTCAACGGGCGGAATGTCGGGAAACAATATAATCATATTTCACGCAAGGCTTCGAGCAATTTTTTTTTAATGGCGGTGCACTAATTACCTAAGCTGGGGTCTGGAGCCCCTTATTCATTATAATACCCACTGTTAGTGATCTTGACTCAAAAGTCTCGGCCCTGTCGGAGCATGAAAATGGACGGTGGAACATTGTGGGATCCGTGGCAACTGGTGTCCTCGACTTGAACAAAACCATGGATGAATTTTGTCGTGGGGAGAGGCGAACCAGACGGATAGCCTACGACCTTTTCTTCAGGTAAAATTCCCGGCAGCCCGTATTTCGCACAATAGCATCCTTATTTCGCACAAAAACTAAACTACTTTTGGCAATACCAAGAGCACTTCTACTATAAGGTTTATAACACCCAGAGATTACAGCTAGGTACGCGCTAAATTACTACATACCTACAATACTTTACAGCACCCCCTATTACGCCTATAACTGTTCACCTACAACGCCTATAACGCCTATAACTGTACGCCTACAACGCCAACAACTGTACGCCTACAACGCCAATAACTATACGCCTACAGCGCCTATAACTATACACCTACACGCCTATAATTGCGCGCCTATAACTACGCACTTCTAGGGGTATATAGTTATAGGTATATAGTTATAAGTGTATAGTTATAGGCGTTACAGGCGCAGAGCCGTACCGCAATAGGCGGGTGGGCAATAATATAGGATATATCAACTTGCGCAATATACGGCGCTATAGGCACTAAATGAAAGTGAACTAACAATCGCTAAAATAGGTTTAGTTTTTATGCGAAATAAGGATGCCATTGTGCGAAATACAGGCTGCCAAAATTCCCGCGCTAGAAGCGCCAAAAGTGCCACAAACGAGCAAGTGCAAATTAGCTGCAACGCATCTAGCCGGGCTCCACTATTACCGATCTTCTACTCGTCCCGACTTGCGCACCAAGAACTTGAGCCTACGTTGTACAGTTGTACTGTCTGTCCAGAGGCAATCTATGAGATAATAAGTTGTGTATACAACGGCTACTTAGATGACTACCAGTACTCAAGACCGCCCTGCAGAGAGACTAGCCATGCCAAAACGGGATGGCCGACCACCTGGCCGCCGCCGCAAGGCTGGCTTCGCTAAGGGGCAGAAACACCGCCTCCAAAGTAATATTCAGACGTAGATATTCATAGCATCACCACGAACAGCTCTCGGCTGCGCAAAGCATTGCATATACAGTTAACAAGTTCATGTTGGGTCTCGTAGGGTTATTAGGTAGGTGCCTGGTAGTGGCCCATTCGCACTCACCAACGTATTGCAGTCCCCAGGCGCTGTTGCGCCAATGATGCCCACCGAAAATTCTGGAGACCAATAATTTAACTCATATGTATTGGGGTTGCACAATTCCCTTCGCAATCGACCATAGGATGTGGAAAACAGGGCTTCCCGTTCGCTCAGCCATACTTAAGCCACATGCCGGTCAGTTAGTACTAAAGTGGGTGACCATTTGGGAATCCTGACTGTTGATTGTTTTTGCCTTTTTGCATTTTTGCACTTCCCTCTCTTTCCTGCTTGAAGCAAGAGAATCTACTGCTCTCAAAGTATATTGCAGCTTCACTTTGATTTGGAAGCGGGCGACCAATTGCGAATCCTTGGATGTTGATGTTTTCTTGCAGTCTCCATCCATTTTGGGCAGCGCTGGCTCATGCACCTTGGAGGACGATTAGTCTGTGTGCCTTATGCCGCGCCCATTCATCCCTGGAAGCTCAGCCTTGAACATTGACCCTGTCAGCCAGTACCTCCGATCGGTATCGAGGTCATATCTGTTGCTATACAAACTCCGCGTTTAGCGCGACTTAGCACACTTAGTACGTAAAAATACGGAAGAATTATTCGTATATAGAAATAACGCCTAGTAATTCTCGTATAGATATTCTTAATATAATAGATAGCTCGTTAATTATCGTTATCGTTACTCCTATCCTCTTCTTCGTCGTTCGATAGTACTATAGCTTATTTCGTACTATCTAGTATTAGTTTTATCCTACTATATATTAATATATATCTTATTTAAGTTATCTCTTAATTCTCTTATATCTTTAAATAACTTATATATATTAATTAATATTCTTATTACGTACTAAGATACGTACTTATTAGTATAAAAGAGTATCTATTCTCGTTCGAATCGATAGATAGAGTCTAGCGCGTAAGGTCTAAGGAAGAAGTATAACTTATTTACGTTAATTAAT